TGGCAGTAAAGACGACCGTTCTCTTCTTGTTGAAGGTGAAAGACAATGACGAAACCATCTCAACACCGGAAATCCAGGGAAGGAATCGTGTCCGGATCGATCAATTGTCCTCAATTCGAAGAGAAGGACTGGCGAAAGAGGAAACAGACAATACTTGACAAAGGAAATGTCTTCTAAAGGTGTTCACATGGAGACCCCGGTCAAACAGTAATGGATCTCGGCTCAGCGACGGTCGATCGTTCCTCTTCCCCGCACATCTCCAGACTCATCATTTGACAGTTGTTATGGGAACAACAGCAATGATAGGTCTTCTGAAGAGCTATGGCGTGAACTAAGGCCGCTCGCCTGGAAAATGTATTCCCAAGAGCGGTCGATCCTCCCCTCAGTCGACTCTTCGAGTCATTCGACGAACCTTGGCTGATATTTAGACTCTCGGATCCTCGACCCACCGCGTCCTAAACTCAGTCAATATCATGGCCACTGCCTCGGTTTCTGGCTTTATGGGACTGTCGATGCGACCTGGTTTGAGACGGCAGAACCGTACCTACAATATACCTTGACAGGTTCCCGAATCATCCCACTCGGAACGCCAATAACAATTCTGATAATTGGAAGGGAGGGCTGGACCGGGCTTTGGGCTAGTTCGCAAGCATTACTCTTCTGGGCAGGGCAGTTCGTGCCTAGGAAAGAGCAAGCTACGTACGGCTCCTCAACATCTATACTGAGGCAGCTCCCTCGTTGGTTAAAGGAGGAAAGCATCACCAGGTGGTTGTTTATCATCACGTCGCTCCCCACTGTCCTTTTCCGTATTTCTGGTTCACATCCAAGTGCGGTCGGTTCTTGACGGCCTTGATCCTCGTCCTGGTTGGCCTCTATTGCTCTCTGCAAGCTTATTCTACCTAACTTATTCCTCGTTCTTGAGGTAACTACTTGTTACTACTCCTTGTTCATCATGGCTGAGCAGGCTGTGACTACATACGTCCCCCTGGACGTGCCTCTTCCACCGATTCCTGAAGGGCAAGTCTTTTCCGACTTGCAATGGAAAACGTTGTTGTCTCTGGCCGACACCGTAATTCCTTCCATTCGCTCTACATCACTTGCCAAGTCTCTCTCTACCAAGGTGGTACCTGAATCGACATTCAAGGATGCGGTCTCGAGTCTGGCATCTCGCATCCACGACCCAGACGCCACAAAGATTGCTGAACAGTATCTGGAAGAGAATGTGTCCACCAACCCGCAGTTCGTGGAGGGGCTGCGGCGACTATTCGCAGACTATATTCACGAAGAAGGGAAAAGCGGCATCAACCTCATCCTTAATGCTCTCAAGTATGTCGCCTCGCCATCTTTTACTTTGTCGCTGACCAAGTAACAAAATCTAGTTCCAAAGCTGGTTCACTCATTCTAACTGGCTCGACCACTCCCATTCAAGACCAACCGTTTGAAGTCCGTGAGAGGATCTTCAGGGCTTGGGAAACTTCCCGAATCAAGCCCCTCCGTGCCATCTATAAGGCATTCACGGCCATTTTTAAGAAGACTTGGACCTCGACGAGCCCCACGATCCGTTCAGTCCTTGGCTGCCCTCGCGTTCCCATCCACGGCAAACCTGCGGATGGATTTGAATACGAGTTCCTGCAATTTCCCCCTGGTGACGAACCTGAAGTCCTAGATACCGATGTTGTGATCGTAGGGAGCGGTTGCGGTGGTAGTGTCGCTGCCAAAAACCTAGCCGAGGCTGGGTACAGAGTAATAGTCGTGGAGAAATCCTACCATTACCCATCCAAATACTTCCCTATGAATTTCACCGAGGGCTTAGTCACTATGTTCGAGAGCGGAGGAGCAACAATGAGTGATGACGGGTCGGTTGCCGTTCTCGCTGGTTCCACATGGGGTGGTGGCGGCACTGTCAACTGGTCGGCTTCGCTGCAGACACAGGGCTACGTTCGCCGAGAATGGGCAAACAATGGGCTGCCGTTGTTCGAGTCTTATGAATACCAGCAATCCTTGGACCGTGTCTGCGATCGGATGGGTGTCAGTAGTGACTACACCGAGCATAACTATGGCAATCGTGTTCTCCTTGACGGAGCTCGGAAGTTGGGATATGCAGCCCAACCTGTCCCTCAGAACACAGGCGGAACGAGACACTATTGCGGATACTGTACAATGGGCTGCCATTCCTGTGGCAAAAAGGGGCCCAGGGAGACTTTCCTGGCTGATGCTGCCAAGGGTGGCGCCACGTTCATTGAAGGGTTTCGCGCGGATAAGGTTCGTTTCAAGATGACCAAGGGCGGACGGGTGGCGTCTGGAGTTGAGGGCACCTGGACCTCCAGGGACTCTTATCTGGGGACCGCTGGGCCGGACCGCACCAGCCGCAAGGTGATCATAAACGCTGCTAAAGTCATTGTTGCCTGTGGAACATTGCATAGCCCGCTCTTGCTGCTGCGTAGCGGACTCAGGAACCCGCAAATCGGGCGTAACCTCTACCTCCATCCTGGTGAGACTTGAATTTATATGGCCCGCCTCCGAGACTTTTTGCTAACAACTGTAGTTGTCCTGTCATGTGCCGTCTTTGACGAGGAAATCCGTCCGTGGGAAGGTGCCGCGTTGACCACAGTCGTCAACGAGTTCGAAGATCAGGACAGCCAGGGTCATGGAGTCAAGATCGAGAACGTTGTAATGCTTCCGGCCTTGTATCTCCCGACGTTTCCATGGCGAGACGGATTGGATTACAAGCTCTGGGCGGCCAAGTTGCCCCGCATGAGCGGATTTATCGCTCTGACCAGAGAACGAGACGCGGGACGGGTGTACCCTGACCCTGCAGATGGCCGTGTCCGGATTGACTACACAGTGTCGGCCTATGACCGGAAGCACATTGTGGAAGCTCTGGTTGCGACGGCAAAGATAGCATACATATCCGGGGCAAGGGAGTTCCATACCTCGAGCCGCGAAATGCCGCCATTCATCCGTCCCACGGAGGCATCGGATCCCAATGCGCCCGAGGGCGTCACCAACGCGGCACTTCAGGCGTGGATTGCCGACCTCCGGCGCAAGAATCCTGTCGACCCCGAACGCACACAGTACGCCAGTGCTCACCAGATGGGTACCTGCCGCATGGGGACGTCCCCCAAGACGAGCGTCGTCGGCCCGGACTGTCAAGTCTGGGGCACGCAGGGCCTGTACGTCATGGATGCGTCTGTCTTTCCCAGTGCTAGCGGCGTGAATCCGATGGTGACGAACATGGCGATTGCGGACTGGGCCAGCCGGAATGTTGCCAGGGCTTTGGAGAAGGCGAACCATGGCAAGAGCGTGTTGGCTCGTCTATGATACCTACGGACTGTCTCCGAGCATATCATTACATCACTTTGGTTGAAATCCGGATGATATCCATAGCTGTTTAGTATTAGGGTCGGCAATTCATTTTTCCTCATACTTCAGCATGCACGTAGTAAGGCGGTTCATTGGACAAGTTCCTAGGATGAAAATCAATTGCTCGGATAGATGCTATGTGGTATCATGCTATGCTAAAGTATGACAATTTTTAAGCCTTGGGAGTCTCACGCTTTTCGATGAACTTCTTCTCACCAAAGGCCTGCTTCACACCGTCGCTCTCGATGGTCTTCTCGTACCAAGAGACGACGAAGGGGTACTTTTGGCGCATTTCGCGGTCAATGACAAAGGAAAAGGCCCAGTTGAGAGTAGCTGCAACGGTGATATCCGCCAGACTCAGTTTCTCCTCGGTGGCGATCCAGTTGCGGTCTCGGAGGTGGCCCTCCAAGTATGCCAATGACCTCTCCAACTTCTCCAGGTTCTTCTTCTCGACGTTCTCATCAAACGGCACGTAACCCAGGCGGGGCAAAATCAGCGGAATCCCAGGACCCTGGATCTCCCCATCGGCGAAAGAAATCCACTGGCGGATGGCCGCGCGCTCGGCGGGCGTGGTACCCAGCAACTGTCCAGCGGCGGGGCCACTCTCGGCGACATACTGCGCGATGGCGTCGGATTCAACGATCTTGGTGCCGTCGGCGCCTTCGAAGGCGGGGACTTTGCCGAAGGGGAATTTGGCGCGGAACTCGGGGGTGTGGTTGTCAGTGCCGATTTTGAAGTCGGGGACTGAGATGGTAAGGTTGTTGAGGTTGGCGGCGGAGAGGATCTAGTTCTTTAGTATCTTGTTCCTACTACTAGCTATATAGGCGAAGAGGGGGATGTGGGAAGGGGAGGTACCTTCATGACCCGGGGGTTGTTGGGGTATGAGTAGAGTGTGCCGAAAGACATTTTGAGGGGTTGTGTTGGAGTTGATGGTTCGTTGATTTGTTAGGATGAGGTGTTGATGGTATGTTTCTTGCGAGGTATTGTCAATTGGTAGGTAGACTGCTGCTTATGTAGGCATCAATGTGTCTTACATAGCTCTCCAAGTGCTGCATTTCCAATGATGACAAATTGAGCATAGGGGAGCTACTAAGTGGGGTGGAAGGAGATCGAATCGCGGACTCGGGTTTTAGAATATCTGACCGTCGAGCTTAGATGGAGAGTGTCGTTGATCGATATGGTCGGTTTCATTTCGTCTTTTCTAGAAGTCACAGGATAGAATTATATGGAATGATGCTTGAGATGGTATATTGTATAGTGCCAGTTTGCCACCGAATTTAAGCTTAGATCCCCAAGACCCCTGGCGTCAGGGGTCGAGCGACGACGTCCTATCGGAGGTGATGGGGGATGGACTAGTGTATGGCGACATCGAGAAGAATTATGAGCAAACATCAGATTATAGATAGAGATTAGATAGATATCTGGTTGTTTTCCGTTCTTTACCATGGATGAAAATACTCTTGATCCGTTATTTTTGATATGATATGATTGATACGAGAACCCCGCATTCTGATTCTATCAGTGAAAAATCTCCTGATCTCCTCTCCTCTTGAGCACCATGAATGCCATGCGCTCATCCCATGGGGCCACCTTCTGTCTAACAAGTATGGGAAAATATATCTCGCAGGGATGAGACAATGGGAGACACAGAGATAAAAACAACTCTCCTCCGTCTCCCTCCCGAACTCCACCTCCTCATCGGCGCCTACCTCCCCTTCCCCGACATAGTCCGCTTTCGCATAACTTGCGCATATCTATACTCTCTCCTCCCACCTCTCACTCACGCGCAACTCCTCCTGGCCGAAACCACCGACTACGCTTTATCCAAGGATATCTACGCATGCCGGTACTGCCTGCGTCTGCGGCCCGCATCGCGCTTTGCGGATCGGATGCGCCGGCGGCGACGGGGCAGGTACGGTCGGGACGCGGAGAAGCGGTTTTGTGTTGAGTGTGGGTTGCAGCCGCGGAAGGGGACGGATGGAGAGGCGAGGTATGGGCCTGGGGCGCAGGTGCGGATCGATGGGGTTCTGTATGTGATTTGTATCACTTGTCGGACGTTTGGGCTGGGGTATGCGGGTGGGATTGAATGCCAAGCTTGTGGCATGGAGAGGGAGAGGGTACGGCAGCAGAAATTATTACTGGAGAGGAGAGATTCAGGCGTGTACGCCGAGGCTACGGATGAAGGCTAACATGGGCATCGTGGCATTTTTCACGTCAACGTTATTGGTCTACATCTGTCAAGCTGTGGATTAGTCCTGTCGAGCGGGATCCTGCACTGGCTTGTTGCCCAAGTATTCGTCGATCTGGGCCATCACTTCGGGAGTGAGCCTCGGCAGCAGCTTCAGGCTTTCGACGTTGTCGACGATTTGCTCCGGTCGCGACGCGCCGGTGATGACAGAGGACACGTTTTCGTTCTTCAGGCACCATGCCAGCGCCAGTTGCGACAGCTTGACTCCCAGCTTATCCGCCAACTCCTGCTTCGCGTTAGTACTGTCCTAGAAAGGGGAGATGGATACTTGCCTTCAGACCGACGATCTTCTTGATCGTCGCCGCCCAATCGTCGTTACCATAGTTTTGTCGGACGCTGTTGGCAAACCGATCGTTGCTCTCGGCGAATCTCGAACCGGGGGGAGGCTGGGCTGTCGCATCGTTGTATTTCCCGCTCAGGAGACCCATCTTCAGTGGGGAGAAGGTGGTCAGACCGATCCCGCAGCGCGAGTACAGTCGCTGGAACTCCCCCTCGACCTTTCGTCTATCCAACATGTTGTAAAGCGGCTGCTCGACAATGGGCGCGATGAGACCTAGCGACCGGGCGATGCCGCAGGCCTCGGCGATCTCGTCTGCCGACCACTCGGAGGTACCCCAGTAGAACGCCCAGCCCTTCTCGATCACATAGTTGAAAGCGCGCACTGTCTCCTCCATCGGGGTTAGACGGTCCGGTCGGTGGGCGTAGATGATGTCGACGTATTCGAGCTGCAGACGTTCCAACGACGCCCGGGTGCCTTCGATGATGTGTTTGCGCGATAGGCCGTGGTTGTTGATTAGAATTTCCCCGTTCGCCGTGCCCCAGTTGAGCTACATCTGTCAACCTGGGTTATTCACAATTGGCTGAGGACGAACCTTTGTGCTGATGACCAGGTCGCTTCGCTTCCACCCGAATTTCTTGATGGCTTGGCCCATGACGATTTCGGATTGTCCGTTTGCATAGCTGCTTCGTGAGCTTGAGCCATTAGACATGAGTGAAGGACATACCTCTCTGCAGTGTCGAAAAAGTTGACTCCGCAGTCATATGCTTGTTTCATGCAGTTGAAGGTGATCTCTGGATAGTCTCAGTCTCAGCGCCACACCTGCAGTCCAAACACCGAGGGCAATTACCATTATCGACATGACCACCGAAACTGTCAAGCGCATGTTAGAGAGTGTTGTATGCTTGAGACCGAATAAACTCACGTTAACCATCCTCCCAATCCAATGACGGAGACATGTAGACCCGAGTTGCCTACTCGTCGGTAGAGCATGTCTTTGTTTTTGTTAGGCCACGCCATGACTGGAGAGCAATCGATTGACTCTTGTAAGAATATTTTGTATGTGTTTGAATTGATATGAAGCAAGAAGGGCGTTCGAGACAATTTATCTTCTTGGCTAGCGGCTCTAGCCTTCTATCGCAAGTCGCAAGTCGCAAGATGCACGACACAGTCTAAGCGGGTCGGGGACCTTAAAAGGAAATTGGTCAACCTATTGTTTGTAGAAGTGGGATGACTCCAAGCTCATGATGTTTACTGTGCAAAAAGAGTACTATTTGCATTTTGCCAATATAGCCGGCACCAATCATGGCTGTAGTTGTTTACAGGCGCGGGGGTGGTGCGGAGTAGGGAGAGTTCTCGGAGTAATACTCGGAGGGTCCTTTTCATCTTGGGTTAGTGTTGAAGATAGCGAAGGTGACCCACGGAACTATGGAACGTGTCCAAGCCTCTAGGAGGTATGATAGGACTTAGTCCGCATTTTAGATGTTGTTGGCGTGAAGACCCCGGACATCAAGTATAGAGAAGAGTAGCTGCTCGAGCTGAGGAGGACTGACCGACTGAGGCATGAATGAATCAGGTGACGGTCATCGTTAAAAATGCTTCGTCCTCTCTACTCTATACTGCCTCGGGCTCCAAGAGCTCTAGGCTTCACTGTACTCAACTATCGGACACAGCTCGTACCTCAGCTACATTATTCTACTTCAAATAACTACCTCAATGCCCAGTACTCTTATCCTTCAGCCAGAACTGGATTCTTTCTGGGTCTAGCATGAACGTGTCTCGCCCGTTTGATGTCTGGGTTACGGTCTAGCCAGAAACTCAACACCATAGTGGGCCTAGCGATGGCGTGCCGCGTGGAGAAAGTAACGCAACTTTGGGCTTGTAGCATGCAAGATCGCGAGTCGATAATGACAAGCTTTGTCCAACGCTGACTCTTGAAAAAATATCGGGAATTTGTCCAAAGCACATTTGATGACTTCAGCCAGAAACAATACTTTGTTACCGTGGTCTTGCAATTCAACTATTCTACCAAGTCTGTTCAGCGCACTTTGGGACCTTGACTTCATCCTTAGGCTTGGCTACCCCGCAGTCTACAAGGAGATCAGCGTGGTGTTCTACTCATCTGGACTACCATCAAGGTTTAGGATCACCCTACAGTCAACGTCCTCTCAAAACGTGGTCGATAGTTGTCGTAATTGCTCATCTCCCGAACATGTACACCGGTCGATGCTCATGATGCCTTGACTGTCCATCACCATGCCGGCTTCACGATCAAATGTGACCAAACGTGCCTGCGACGGGTGCAAGATCCGTAAGATCCGTTGCGGAGGCGGCCAGCCATGCCAGGCCTGTACCAATTCGCGCATCAAATGCACCTACATCCGTGTTCAACAGCCTCGAGGTCCGCAGCGTTTGCGCTCGACGACAAAGTATCTCATCGAGCAGACCCAGCGTGGCCTGGACGCTCAAAATGACGAGTGCATCTCCGTTCCAGTCGAACAGACTGGCCGTCTAGGCCATCAAACAGCGAAGTACATATTGAAACATCCGTCTCTCGCATTTCTGGACCTATCTGACTGCAACAGGTTGCGAATACCGACCGACATTCTTGCTCCCCCGCTCTACGTATACCACATGCGCATGTATCCAGTTTGGCCCATCGTCAATGTCGAAAGCCTCATCTCGGTACTACAAGAAGATACAGAACGAAGGGATCTGTCAACGTATTCCTTGGCGACAGCCGTCGCAGCAGCGACGCTGGCTCAACTCAAGCTCGAACATTTGACTACCGGTGACTCGCCCACCGCAGACGCATTCGCGGCCGAGTGCCTGCACGCCCGTGATTCGTGTGGATATAGATCAAAACCAAGCCTGGACAATATCCGGACATCTTTTTTCCTACATGTATACTATGAGAACCAACAATCGGGAGGAAGTGAATCGTTGCTTTATTTGAGGGAAGCCATTACCATGGCGCAAATGATGCGCCTACATCAGGAGGCTTCTTACATCGGACTCAGTCCAGAGGAACAGCAACTCCGCCGTCGCATTCTATGGCTGCTTTTCGTGACGGAACGGTAATTCTGCTTTTATCTCCGCGTAATACATGGCCCTCCTGACATGGTGTGTAGGGGTGTTTGTATCCTCCACCAGCTTCCGGTGATACTCAGAACTAATATCTCGACCCCTGGGCTCGATGTCAATGACGAGCCGCAGATCTTACCGGCGTTCCTGAAACTACTCAACCTATTCCGCCTTTTCGAATCGTCCAAGATGTTTGATGTTATAGAATGTGAGAGCGTCGGTACTCATGACCTAAGCGCAGCGGGACCGGACGGAAAATTCCTCAGACTGCTCCAGGATGGCCTGCAGGACGGGTCAGCACTGCTGGATCACACGTCGGACGTGCAGAAAGCAGATCTATGTGTCACCCGGCATTGGATGCGTCTGATCCTGTGGAAGAATCTGTCAAGAAACACGACGACAAGCGGACATTCACCGACGTCGCTTTTCTCACCGTTGTTCCCAGTGATGGTCGCGAAGGAGCTCATGGCCATAGTGACTCAGTTACCAAGACCGGCGATTGAGGCGCATGGCTTGGGGATGGTATGGATAACCTTCTCCTATGTGAACGCCGCTGACGTATGTAGGAGTTGAAGCTGTACGAAATTGCCAATTCGCTGGCGGATGCGGTTATGGATCTGGCAATGCTCCCGAGGCCTCCTGTTTGGGACGTCGAGAGTCGTCCAAGCCAGATTTTGGCCCGCTTACATGCCATTCTGTCAACTTTTCGCGGTGGTGGCAACAAGCAGCTGGTTGCATTGTTGTATAAGAAGATGGCCGAGGTGCAGTCGATTAGTGGGCTCACATTGGGAGCGTCGCTCAAAGCCCCGGCTGGCAGGCCGCAACTTCAGCAGTCATCGGAATCATCAACGTGTAGTAATGCAATCACCGAGAATGCATTCCTCGACCAGTCAACGTCCGAATCGAGTCAGATGATGACAATGACGGATTGGTTCAATTTTGGGCCTTCATACATATTGAAAGAAGGCGGAGACGCGCAGCCAGATCGTTCTGATGGCAACTTCTTGCCCGACGATACGATCACCGCGATAGCCTCGACATCCGCCAATTCCTCTGACGCATGGACCGCGGAGTCCCTGGTCATAACCGAAGACATCGGGGAGATGGCGTCCCTCTTCACCTCTTTGCCATTGTGGACAACCTCCGAAGAGGAATTCCTCGAGGAGTGTTCAAGAAATGGCACGCTCTCATCGTTTGAATCTTCCTTGCCCAATGAGGATATGACTTTCTGGCACGCACCGATAGTAGGAACTTGAACCGGGCATCAGATCTTTTTTATTGCGCGTTGATATATACCTGACGTTATCTTGTACAATGATCTCAATACTTGAAACGGAAATCTAGACGTTTGTTACCCTCCTTCTCTCTCGCCTCCTGATCCGACTGGTACAAGACCTTCTCCTCGGCCGACATGGCGCTCCACTTCCTCTCCTTTTGCCGGTTAAGATAGCGCAGGAACTCACGCTGGGAGACGAAGACGATGAGCGCCAGCACACAGATGGATATAAGCACCTTGTTGCCCCTGTAGTAGTACGGCGAGTCATCGGCGCGATAGATTTCTGCCTCATTAGCCTTGTTGA